ATAAAGGATTAGATTCTCATAAGGAGTGAACAACCTAGATACCCTGTGTAAGCAGCTTACAAGAGGGTTTGAGTCACACTCCTATGACAATCTAATGCCACCACCGATTTGACAGGAAGAGGAGCTCAGGCAGTAATGTGAGTGACAGAGAGTGGCTTTAAACAGATGAAGCTTTGCTTGCTCACCTGCCACTAGCCTCCTGCTCTGTGGTCCAGGTCCTAACAGTCCAGGGACTGGTACTGGTCCATGGCCTGGGGATTGGGAAGCCAGCCCTGTGTTAACCCATACTTTTTATCTTTATTTTTTGGAAACACTTTCCACTTATATTCTTGATTCCTCTGTATTTTATAGACAACTTAGAAATTCCTTTTGGAACAAGACAGGGTCTAATATTGTGTTTTTAACATACAACTTTGAATTAATTTTATCTGTGTATGCAACAGAGATGTGAAATAAACTAATCCTTAATCACTTTCAATTTTACTTTTATTTCATGCATATTAAGAATAAAACTGGGAAGTCCTAGGCAGAGCAACTGGGCAAGAGAAATAAAGGACATCCAAATTGGAAAAAAGAAAATCAAACTATCTCTTCATCAATTATATGATCTTATCCCTAGAAAACCCTAAAGACTCCTACAAAACACTCTTAGACTTGATAAATAAATTCAGTAAAGTCTCAGAGACTACAAAATGTACAAATACCAATGAGTAGTACCACTATACACCACCTACAGCCAAGCTGTGCATCACAACAAGAACCCAGTCCCTTTGACAATGGCTGCAAAAGAGTAAAATACCTAGGAAAATACTTAACGAAGCAGGTGAGTCAGCTATAAAAGGATAACTGGAAAACACCACTGAAGAAAATCAGAGATGACACAAATAAATGAACATACATCCTATGCTCCTGGACTGAAAGCATTAATATTGCGAAAATGACCATAGTGCCCAAAGCAGTCTGCAGATCCAATACAGTTTCTATCCAAGTACCAATGTCATTCTTCACAGAGTTATTTTAAAAAGCTGCCATTCATGTAGAACCACAAAAGAGCCCGAATAGCAATGCACACACAGAACAAAAGGAACAAACATGTTGGCATCACATGACCTGAAAACTGTAATTATTTTTAATGAGGTAAAAATGTATAAGAATATCACTGTTACTGTACAGAGAAGACAGTGAACAAGAAAACAAAAGGAATTTAAAAAGAGAATATCACTACCATATACATATATTAACTGACAGACTAAAATCTTCTACTGGAGATTATGTTAAGACTTGAGCAAAAGCTTCTAGAAATACTAAAAACAGAAACAAGACAAATAATTTTAAGGAATAAATTTTACAGAGAAATATGTATTTTAAAAAAAGAAAACAGATCTTCCTGAGAGCTATTATTAACCAATTCATCTTGACCAAAATTTTTAAATGAGGTGTAAAATTCTGCAATATAAAATAGATTCATTTTGACCATAGTTAATTGAAGGCAACTTTTAAACCAAAAATGTTCAGTTAAAGTTGAGTCTAACTTAGGAAAGAAATGACCTGTACCAATGGTAACAAGAAGCCACCCAGAGCCAGTTTGAAATCTAGTTAACCAATCAATGACCACTGGTCTTGCTCACCAACCACTACAGATGTGAGCAGCTTGCTTCTGAAATACAGCCAAGCAGCAGTACCTGCTCCATCAGAAGAGCCAGTGCCTGACCAGTATTCTTCTTACTATAGGAAGCAAAAAAATTCCAACTCTGTCTTTTTATTTCAAATACCAAAGGTTCATAATCCCTTGAAAAGAATTTGTAAGTCCATTAAATGTGCCACCCCAATTTTTAAAAAAATAAAAAGTGAGTGGCTGGGTGCAGTGGCTCACGCCTGTAATCCTAGCACTTTGAAGGGCCGAAGTGGGTGGATCACCTGAGGTAAAGAGTGTGAGGCCAGCCTGTCCAACATGGTGAAACCCTGTCTCTACTAAAAATACAGAAATTAGCCAGGCGTGGTGGCATGCCCCTGTAATCCCAGCTCCTCAGGAGGCTAAGGCAGGAGAAATACATGAACCCAGGAGGCGGAGGGTGCAGTGAACTGAGACCCCACCACTGCACTCCAGCCTGGGCGATAGAGTGAGACTCCATCTCAAAAATCAAATCAAATGAAATACTAGTAAAGTTTGCAAGTCCTCTGACTCAGTTTACCATAATTACAATTATGATTACTAGTAAAAGAATAAATAATGAATAACCACAATATTGGGTTTTCACCCTAAATAAAAAAAAATAGTATAAAGAATGTAGCTTATTATAAAGAGCCAAAACAATTTTTTAAATGCATATAATTAGCAGGCAAAACTATTAGAGTGAACCACGTCAAACTTTTTAAAAGTGAGAATCAATCAAACAATATACCCAGGATAAACTCCATTCACTCATTTAATAAGGATTTATTAGGTAGCTACATCCAATATGCTAGGCCTTTTTCTAGGCAGTGTGGATATGGTAGTGAAAAATAAAATCCCTATGCATGAGAGTGAGGTAAACACACAATAATAATGGACAGAGAAGACAAAATATACAGTACATTAGAGGAGAAAAACTAAAGCAGGAAAATGAAATGTTTACGTGTTTGATGGGGAGGGTGGTGGGAAAGTTGAGATGGTCAGAAAAGTCTCTGCTGACAAAGGGGATTTTTTTTTTCTAATACAAAAAACCTTTTATTTGTATATCAAAGACTCTAAGAAATGATGACATAAGGTTAGCAGTGTTGATGTCAAGATACAAATGGGTTTGAAGTTAGAGATGATAAGTCACTTTGTTTCATTGAACCTTCCCTTGGTT